GATGGACGGTTGTGATTTTGCAGCATTAAAACGTCTTACAGGATACCTTTTGGATGCCAATGAGAGGCGAGCTTTCGTATGTGCGAATGAGAACATGATCTAACCCACAGGGGTTGCCAGTTTCGACACCAAATCTTGATTTTTGAACCTGAACTAAAATACATTCAGTCGAGCGTCCCATATGATCACAGTCGGTACAGTGGGTCGGCAGGTGTTTTAGGCATGCGGGAAAGACGTGTCGGTGACAACTAGCTGGTTCCGGGCTGCAATGGTCGGCATGCCCATGACATTACGTCATCGAGAACCAGGCCCGAAGCGGCCTGCACTGTGAAGAGTCACCCGGTCGAGTACAAAGATTCTAGATCCTGACGAGTAAATAAATTCTTTAGCAGCGAGAAGCAGATTTACTGATCGCGCTGGTCGGCAACTAACATTAGTGCGTACACAGAGACGACGTAAGACTCGGTAAAGTGCCTATTCAGTTGCACGTGACCCGGATGGTTATCGACTGGTTCACACGCGAGTGGCACACTGTCCACTTGTGAGGGGTGGACTGCGTCTACCAGAAGAGTTGCGTGGGCTGCTGCCATAGCATGGGTCCATAAGTATTCTTCAGCACGCCTTGACAAAACTCTCGTAGAAGGGTTATCTCTTGGTCCTAATTTTTGCATTGCATGGCGAAGGCAGAAGCAACTTGAGCTCGAAACCCAGTTCGAGAGTCTCTCTAGCCAGACTAACGATCTAAAACCCTCCCAACCTAGAGAAGTTGACTATCTTAAATCGACTCTGGTAAACTGCTGTGAACAGTATTTATGAAAGGGTCCGAGGAACAGAGGTCCCTTAACAAGAGCCCACCTCGATAGTCTCAGGAAGCTTCGTGAAAATGAACATATCTTACTAACCAGACCCGACAAGGGCTCAGGCATAGTGCTGATGGATAAGACGGATTACGTGGAGAAATCAGAAGAAATCTTATCGGACCGTACAAAATTTTTAAAATCCGAGAAAGACAGGAATCGAACCGAGACAATCAAGAGGCAGTTAACGAATGTGCTCAAAGATCTCCACAAGGAGGAACTCCTGTCTGACAAGGAGTTTGAAGGGCTAAAACCTCTGGGCACGACGATAGCCCAGAATGTATGGTCTTCCCAAGATTCAAAAACCCGGGCTACCACTACGTCCAATCTTAGACATGAGAAATTCACCCTATCACGCAATAGCAAAATGGCTGGTAGAAAAGTTAAAACCGCTTCAAAGTTGCCTGTATCCGCGAAGTTTGAAAGACACCTTTGAGTTTGTCGAGGCCATCAAGAACATTAACGTGGAGGGACAAACGATGCTCTAGTTAGATGTATCATCACTGTTCACCAACGTACCCGTTGTGGAGACAATTGACTTCCTGGTCGACTTCATCAGGGAAACAAACTACCCAATCGGCATGACAGTGGAGACGCTAAAAGAACTACTTACGCGATGCACACAGAATGTCCAATTCCTCTGCAACGGCCAGCTATACAGCCAAATAGACGGTGTGGCAATGGGTTCACCGCTTGGACCGTTTCTCGCAAATGTCTTCATGGGCAAGGTCCAGCAAACGAGTCTCAAAGATACCATTAATGACCTTAAATTCTACGGTCGATATGTGGACGATACCTTTTGCATGACGAGTCATACCACCGACATCAATGGCCTAGTTCAGAAGTTTAATGGGGCGCACCCATCTCTGATGTTTACCGCGGAGACCGAGGCGAATAACGAGATCGCATTCCTCGATGTCCTTCTACACAGACAAGAGGATGGATCCATCCAACGCAAGATATTCAGAAAGAAAATCTGGACGGGACAATACATTATTTTTCACAGTGTTGTTCCCTTAAATCTAAAACGAAATTTAGTCCAGGGACTGGCGGCTAGAGTGCGACGCATCTGCTCTCCTGACACTGTTGAAGAAGAACTCCAGCAGCTGCAAAACACGCTCCGCGAAAACGGCTATCCAGAGCGATTCATCCTCCGGAATATAAGACAGCGGGCCACAAAACCGGCCGTTGCAACTGCGGAGAAGATTTATTTCTAAGACTACCTTTTCTAGGAGACGCAGCAAGCGAATTAGTGAGACGACGTCTCAGGACAGCTCTTGCGAGTGCCTTGCCCGCGGCGAACTTGCGCGTATTCTTCGCAAATTCCCCCCTACTACGGTTGGGGGGACAAAGACCGGCTGCCGTTACAGGCCACATCCATGTGCATTTATTCATTCACCTGCTCCTGTGGAGCGGGATATATTGGCCGTACAATCAGGCGACTGGAAAAGAGAATACGCGAACACATGCCTGCCTGGCTAGGTAGAGGTGAACACCGATCGATTTCGAGTTCAATTCTCGCACATCTAATCGATACGAACCATCAAACCGACGCTAAAGAAGCTTTTAGAGTTATCTACCGGGCACCGCCACAGTACTCTAAAGGCCTGCGCAAACGGGTGCTAGCCACAGCCGAAGCAGTGGCCATTCGACTGGCGAACCCAGCACTCTGTTGTCAGAAGACGCTGACACAAGCA